GGCACTGGAGAAAACCACTGGCTCAGCAGTTAAGATCATGCACACTCTTGCAAAGACCTGAGTTTGGTTCCCAGCACCCATGTTGGGCAGCTCACAAATGGCTCTGGCATCCCTGGTCACCAACACTCAAATACACAAACACACACAGACAGACACATACACACAGCAGTAAAAATAAATTTCCAAATAAGAATAAGCTAGATGTAGTGGCAAACACCCTACCTGAGACAGGGTCTTACAGGATAGCCCAGGCTGGACCCACCTCCCCGATCCTTCTGCCTCCACCTCGACAGGATTGCGATTGCTGGTATGCACCACCTCAGTTGGCCTAGCTTGAGATTTCTTGACATACCAAGCCCTACTCCCCAGGGTGCAAAAAGACTCATCAGTCACACTTTCCAAGAAAGGGCTTTTAAAAAGAATTCCCCTTTCCTTTTCTTTTTAAGCTTGTGCAGTCCTGAAGCAGCCTTCTCTGGGGTTCCTTAGGGCTAATGAGCTATACAATGGTTTCGGGTCACACTAGGGTGGTAGGTGAAATAAATCCTTTTGTTGCAGAAGAAGGTCTCAGCGTGACCCGGAGAGTCTTCCCTAAACCTCCTCATTTTGAGCAGGCCCTGGACTGTCACTCTTGTATCTCTTTCCTGGGGCGGTTGACAAACCGAAATTCACGGGTTCCATATTTGTCAAGGCTCTCATGTCATAAGTGGCTTTGGTGCTCAGGATATGAGTCCTCTTGTTGACTGTCCAGTTTCTAGTTTTCACTCAATAACTGCCCTGGACATTCCTCACACATTAAAGCATTTCTGTGTTTATAAGAATATGATATAACTAGGCATATTAGACATATTAGCTAGTTATTAACAGAAATGCCTGAAGATTTACCCAAGCTATGACTGTATTGGCCAGTTGTCTTGACGTGTGAGCCTTGGACATAAAAGTGCCAGAAGTGACACAAAACAGTATGGGTCTCATCTTCATCAGGTGTCGAGGTCTGGGCAGAACCTGGTGTGCAGACACTGGCTGGAGCCTGGCTGGATTCCTCTCTTCCCAGGTTTCTCGTGCTCCAGTCAGGGTCTTGGATCTGACGCGGGTTCTGCATGGCTGTGATCACGTGTTTCATGCATCATTAGTGAGTTCTCCAGCACGCCACTCCATTTGAGCATACCTTTGCTTCACACCCTTCTTATCATTAATGGATGGCCAAGCCCTGCTGCTTTCAGTGTTGGTGTTGAGTACTAGCAAAATGTGATGGAACTTCTCAGAAATCACTGGAGACTTGGTCACCAATTAAAAGCCATCATTCTCAACATTAAGGAAGGCAGCAGAAGAGTATATGCCTCTTGTGGAGAAGCAGAGGACCTTTCTACAACACAGTCTCTATTTGTATACATACAGCATGTGTATGTATGTATATATATATATCCCTTTGAATTCATGTGGTTGAACATGTATGATGGGTGCACATGTATCCATAAGGATGTGGAGGCTAGAGTTCAATCAATAGTGTCCTTTTATTAAAAAATTGAATTTTATTGACTCTACATTTTTCTCTCCTCCCCTCCCTGCCTCTCCCCTCCCTTCAACCCTCTCCCAAAGTCCCCATGCCTGCAATTTACTCAGGAGATCTTGTCTTTTTCTACTTTCTACATCCCATGCAGATTAGATCTATGTAAGTCTCCCTTGTTCTCTGGGATTGTGGTTTGTAGGCTGGCTTTTTTTTTTATGTTTAAAAACCACCTATGAGTGAGTACATGTGATAATTGTCTTTCTGTGTCTGTGTTACCTCACTCAAAATAATATTTTCTAGCTCCATTCATTTTCCCGCAAAATTCAAGATGTTGTTATTTTTTTTCTGCCTTGTAGTAAGTACTCCATTGTGTAAACGTACCACATTTTCCTTATCCATTCTTTGGTCAAGGGGCATATAGGTTGTTTCCAGTTCTGGCTATGACAAACAATGCTGCTATGAACATAGTTGAGCACATGTCCTTGTGGCACGAATGAGCATCCTTTGGATATATAATCAAAAGTGGTATTACTGGGTCTTGAGGAAGGTTGTTTTCTAATTTTCTGAGAAATCGCCACACTGACACCCAAAGGGGTTGTACCAGCTTGCAATGCAGAAGTGTTCCCTTTTCCCCACGGCCTCACCAGCATAAGTTGTCATCAGTGTTTTTGATCTTGGCCATTCTTACAGGTGTAAGATGGAATCTCAGAGTTGTTTTGATTTGCATTTCTCTGATGACTAAGGATGTTGAACATTTCCTTAAGTGTCTTTCAGCCATTTCTCTGTTGAGAGTTCTCTGTTTAGGTCTGTACTCCATTTTTTTTATTGGGTTATGTGATCTTTTGGTGTCCAATTTCTTGAGTTTTTTGTATATTTTGGAGATCAGACCTCTGTCTGATGTGGGGTTAGTGAAGATCTTTTTCCATTCTGTAGGCTGTCATTTTGTCTTGTTGACCATGTCCTTTGCTTTACAGAAGCTTTTTAGTTTCAGGAGGTCCAATTTGTTCATTGTTTCTCTCAGAGTCTGTGCTGCTGGGGTTATGTTTAGGAAGTGGTTCCCTGTGCCAATGCGTTCAAGTGTATTTCCCACTTTCTCTTCTTCAAGGTTCAGTGTGGCTGGCTTTATGTTGAGTTTTGGACTTGAGTTTTGTGCATGATGATAGATATGGGTCTATATTCATTCTTCTACATGTTGATATCCAACACCATTTGTTAAATATGCTTTCTTTTTTCCATTTGATATTTTTTACTTCTTTGTCAAAAATCAGGTGTTCGAAGATGTGTGGACTGATATCAGGGTCTTCTATTTGGTTCCATTGGTCCTCCTGTATGTTCTTATGCCAATACCAGGCTGTTTTCAGTACTGTAATTCTGTAGTAGAGTTTGAAGTCAGGGATTGTGATGCCTCCAGAAGTTCTTTTATTGTATAGGATTGTTTGGCTATCCTGGGTTTTTTGCTTTTCCATATGAAGTTGAGTACCATCCTTTCGAGGTCTTTGAAGAATTTTCTTGGGATTTTGCTGGGCATTAAGTTGAATCTGTTCAATGGTGTCCTTTTTCAGGAGCTGCCTACCTTGACTTTTGGGGACTGGTTTGCTTACAGAGGTCCACCAATTAAGCTAGGTTGGTGGGCCAGTGAGCTCCAGGGGCCTGCCTGTCTCTGCCTTCCCGGCACTGGGACTACAAGCACACTCCACTACACCAGTTTTTCCCTTGGGTTCTGAGGATTGAATTCAGGTCCTCATGCTTGAAGAACAAGCACTTTACTGACTGAGCCATCTCTGCAGCCTCTCCCATCCTTTCGAGACAGGCTCTCTTGTACCTCTACTGAGATAACTGAGATAACCTTGACCCTCTGAGCTACCTACTTCACCTCCCTCTTCCTGGGATTAGGTGTACGCCACAGCCACCACAGTCAGCTGATGCAGTGCTGGAGATCAAGCTCGGGACTTCCTGCGAACGATACAACACTCTCCCAACACACCCCTAGCCCAGAGACACTGGTTTCTAATAAACTATTTTTAGAGGACTAACTGAATAAACTAGTTGTTCATTACCAAAGAAAGATCCAGTTTTGGTGATGGAACAGGTTCAACACAGTTCACCTCTTTTACGGACCTCTGGCACTACCTTCTGATACTAGCCCAAACAATACGAGTAAATATCACATGTCTTGAGTACCCAACTACAGCCACCACTCAAAGTGTGACTGCTACCTAGTGACCTCTATACACAGTAACATTATCTGTAAATGTCACTTATCAGCGTTCCAGTAGGGCTAATTTAATATCTTACTGCTTCTGTAAACTCATGTTGGGTTCTGGAGTCACAGTAGACAAACAGCTCTGGTCCCAGGAAAGTGACAGTCTGTGTGAGGTTGGACATTGAGCAAGTGGCAACCATTACCAAGTGTGAGGAGTTCTACAGAGGAAAAGAGCAAACAAAGCAACAGAAAACCTAGGCTGCCTGACAAGCAGTGCTGACCCACGACTTTAATCCCAGCATTAATCCCAGCACTCGGGAGGAGGCAGAGGCAGGCAGATCTCTACGAGTTCGAAGCCAGCATTGGTCTTCATAATGAGTTCCAGAACACTCAGAGGTACACAGAGAAACCTCGTCTCGGAAAAACAAAAACAAAACAAGCAACAACAAAACCTGGGCTAACACATCAGCTGTGAGAAGTGCTGCTGTCTGTGGGATATCCTGCAGGATTTTCTTGATTAGATGATACCGGAGCCTACACCTCAACACCTAGAAGAAGTCGCCGTAGAAAGTACAGGGGCAAAGAATTTCAGTAGGAAAGTGGCAGGTGTGGCTCCTCTGAAGTAGAAGGGTTCTTGGGATACTCCAGGAAACTAAGCCGGTAAATTGGAGAGAAGGGAGGATGTGGGACGCTCCTGGGGACCCTGAGAAAGAGTTTGTATTTTTAAAGATAGATTGAAAACAGGTATTATCGCACAAGTCTGCAATCCCAGCAAGTGGGAGGTAGGGACGTGCGCGCACGTGTGTGTGTGTGTGTGTGTGTGTGTGTGTGTGAGAGAGAGAGNGAGAGAGAGAGAGAGAGAGAGAGAGAGAGAGAGAGAGAGAGAGAGAGAGAGAGAGAGAGTTCAAGCCCACCCAGGGCTACATGAGGTACTGTTTCAAAATACCAAACAACGAGAAGAGTGGCACGTGATTTATGCTCTGAGAAGTTAGCTGCGATTCCTGCTAGACATTGGTGTCACTGGTGTGGTAAGATCAACAACCCTTCCAAAGTCACCCATTCCCTCCTAAGCCTCACAATGAACCAAAGGTCTCCCTATGAAATTTGCCTTCTGATTGGTCGAACCCAATCAGAGTCACGATGGTTGGTTACCAGCTCTCCTTTCTCTTCCAATCAGACCCCTGCTGACCAGTGCGCTCTGTGACTGGCTCTCTTTTATGAGTGACGGTAGACTCAACCTATAGTTACAACGACAGGGCGGTGCTACCCCAAAGCAGTGGGCTGTGCAGCCAGAAGGCAGGGCTGTCAGTGCGCGTCCAGCCAGGACCCTCGACAGAGTGCTTCGGTGCTATGGCCGCCCCTGCGCAGCTGCAGGCTCTTCTCAAGGCTGTCAACACTCTGCTGCGCAAGCGCCGCTACCATGCTGTGTTGGCCTTGCTTAAGGGCTTCCGGAACGGGGCTGTGTGAGTGGGGCCGCGGAGTCTGGTCAGGGCTGGGGGACGGGCCTGGCTGGGGTCGCGAATTCGAGGCCCCGTGTCATTTCACTGTGCGCTCTCTAGGAGCTCTCGGATTTGATTTCGGTGCCCCGTTGGTGCAACCGGCGTAGGCTTCTGGGTTCCTGTCACCGTTTCAGTCCTGAGCTGTGGCTCACCCTGTTCCTCTTCTGTGTTCTGTGCGCTTTATAACCTGGCACTCCTGACTTAGTGGCTTCCTGTGCCAGCACCTGTAACTTCTCATTTGTGTCCAGTTCATCACCTCATCTTGCCTTATGCCCTTTGGCCTATTTGGCTTTGGTGGCCTGTATGCACAAAAGAAACTGGACTCTGTTCTTCAGCAAGCAGGTGGTCACCTACTGCCTAATAGGGTCCTTCTGTTAAGCTGCCAACAGGTTCCACCCTGTTTCTCATCCATCTGACTTCACCTCGGCCATCATTTTCCTGGGGACTCGTGGGAAGTGACCGTGAATGTGAGAAAAGGCGCGACTATTTGCTGGGCGGCTTAGTCTCACTCCCTCATACTGTAGGAGAGGAGGTCTTGGGGTCATTTTGCTCGACTGGTGCCTGGGGGGGGGGAGCACCATGCATTAACAGTTATTGAGGGGCTACTAGACCAGAACTCTCAATGACCCATGGAGCACTGTGTGGCACTGTTTGAGGATGCGTCGGTGTGTGTGAAACACGGAGCCTGTACCTGGTGTGCGTCTGCCAAGTGGTGACTGTCGTTACAGGCGCCTGCTGCCTACCTGCCCCACTAACCCTCTGAGGTCTCTGCTTGAGCGCTACCTCCCCACTGAGACTGCCTCTGAACTTCCCACCCCGTTCCCTACCTTGGTCTCTCTGTATAGTGCTTGCCATCAGCGGACGCCGACTAGTCTCGCTCCATAGTCCACGCCTCACACTGGAAAGCGTGCTTCATTCGGCCGTGGGGTCCATGCCACTATTCCCAGCACTTAGGAGGCTGGGACGGGGGGACGAATGTGAGTTTGCGGCTGACTAGCGCTAAGTAGTGCATTCCAGATCCCCCGTGTGCTAGTGTGAGACCCTCCCTCCACAAGAGAACAAGATGAGCTTCACAGTGCACACGTTTTACCTGTGGTGTGTCCCTCTGTGTGTCCTGTTACTCCCTGCAATAGGCATTTAAACTTTTCTTGGACGAATATTTGAAAACTAGGGATTTCTCTGTCTCTGCCTTTCAGATGAGTGAATAGTGGCTAGGGGAGGTGTGCCGATTGCCCCTGCTCACATCGAGTGTGGGTACAGTCGGGATTCAGACTCAGAATGGACACTCAGTCACACAGAAAATGCTTCCCGCTAGATCTGGCCAGATCATATCAGTCACTATTGGAACAGGATGGGATGAACCCTGAGGTAACATCATAGCCTCTTTGCCAGGTATGCACTGGACAGAGCAGGAACTGGCCTATGTGCCAGCAGGCATTGCCTAATATGAGCTTTGCACATCTGCCCCCCCCCACTCTCTGTGCCTCCTCAATGGACCTTCCCAGCCAGGACAGACATTTTCCAGGGTCAGGTGTTTGGGCTCTGACCCCAATGCTTTCACTGTGACAAACTGGATAGTTTGTCTCTTCTGGTCTTAGTTTCCTCCTATGTAAAATTAAAAGTGTAAACTCAGTCATTCCCGAGTCTCCAGGGCAGGGACCTCATGACTGTGCCCATCTGTAAGGACCGTACATCCAAGGGCAAGTCTCTCAAACAGACAGGGCTGAGCATGGCCGCCTACGCTTTAGTCTCGGCACTTTAGGATTGCCAGTGTGAGACTAGCCTGGCCTGAGCAGCAAGACTAATGAAATAACCCCCAAACGACAACAAAACAAACAAGAACAAAAACCCAAATACCCCACCAATGCAAAGTAGTATTCAGGAAGGCTTTTCCGAGGGAGTGCTGGTGATACCCTGAAGACCAAGCTAGAGGTTTCCGGGAAGGAACCGGCATCCCGGGTGTGGAAATACATTCAACACAAGGCCTGTGTTTGTGAAGAAGGGTCACCAGTTTAGAGAGGTCAACCCCGATGGCTGAGGTCTTTGAACTTTGCAATCATTTAACTCACTCCTAAATATTCATGAGTTTTACGCGCGCGCACAGATGTACTCTGCACACGTGTGCTAGGTCCAAGGACAATCTACCTGTCATGCCCCAGGCCCCTTCCTTTCCCTTTTGGTTTGAGAAAGGGTCTCTCTAGCCTGGCACTTCACCCGGTAGGTTATTCGGCCATCCAGCTCCAAGACTCTGTCTCTGCCTCCTACCTCACCGTTTCCTGGACTACATATGCCTACCACCGTGCTTTGCTTTCTACATGGGGTCCCAGGGATCCACATTCAGGTCCTCAGACTTACATGTCAAACTCTTTACCGACCAAGACATCTTTCTAGCCCCCATTTTAAAAAAGGGGGGGGCGTCTTACTGTCTATGTTAGGTTTGTCTCAAGTTCAAGCTCCTCCTGTCTCAGCCATCCAATTTCTGAGGCTACACGTGTGATGTAACAAGTCTCATGTGCACTTGGGGAGTCTGGGAAAGGGCATGACAGATGTAGGAACTTGAGGACAGTCTTCTTGTGTCAAAGGGAAGGCTCTGGATGATGGAGGCGGCTGAAGCCTCTCGGTGCAGGAGAAAGAGATGAGGTTCTGGAGGTGCTAGGGGAAGAAAGGCCACAGGGCTGACGGGAACTGCCTGACCACTGCTGCGAGAGGAGATAAGGACATCAGGCTGGATTTGCAACAAAAAATGCATTTTATATTGTTAACTTTTCAAATACCTTTCATCATTTTTATGTTGTTAGCTTTTCAAATATCTTTCATTTCCTCCTTTTAAAGTGAGGTAACGCATTCACAAAAGTCTTAAAAAGTTCACTGCTAAGCCGGGAGTGTACTTGTGTGGTAGAGCGCATGCCTAGCATGCAAGAGGCCCTGCGGTCTATCTCTGACTCTAAAATAAAGTTACACAAATGTCCTCTGTCATCACTCCCTCTCGGTAGAGGCATCCCCAGATGAGTCTTCTGTGCCATCTTCCAGAGCGCGTGCACACAAATGCATCCCATCTCCCACACCTCTGATGTTTTCTTCTGGAACACTGTTAGACATGTAGAACAGTTCCTTGCCTTACACCATTGCTTCACTGCCCACACTTTCCCACTTTGTTCGTTTAAATCCCACAGACTCAGCCCCAGTGCCAGCAGGCATTTCCCAACGAGGGCTTTGTACACATTCTCCCATTCCGACTCTTCCTGTGTCCTCCTCTGTGAACCTTCCCAGCCAGCCACGGCACTCTCTGTGGTCATGTCCTTGGGTTCTAGTTCTAATGATTTTATGCTGAATATCAAATGACTCTTCTGACCTCCATTTTCTCTTTAAAAATTCTTTTGAATTAAGCCAGGCAGTGGTGGTGCATGACTTTAATCCCCAGCATTTGGAAGGCAGAGGCACGCGAGTCTCTGTAAGTTTGAGGCCTGCCTGGTCTACAAAGTGAGTCCAGGCCAGTTAAAGCTACATAGAGAAACCCTGTCTTTAAAACAAACAAACAAACAAACAAACAAACAAAAAATCAACTTTTAATGAGTGGAGGAACAGTCGATCTAGGGGAGAGGGAAGGTGGAGGAAGGAACTGGGAGGCGGGAAGGGAGGGGAGGCTTCAGCCAGGATATATTATATGAGAGAAGAATAAAAAATTGTTTTTATTAATTACTTTAAAGAAGTATTATGTTTTTTCTAGACAGGATTCCTCTGTACAGTCCTGGCTGACCTGGAACTTTCACTGTAGACCAGATTATCTATCCTTGAACACAGAGATCTGCTTGCCTCTGCCTCCTGAGTGCTGGGATTAAAGGTGACCACCACCACCACCTGGCAAGATACATTTATTTTAAGTGTATACATGCTTTGTATGTTTATGTACCACTTACATGCTGAGTACCTGTGGCAGCCAGAAGAGGGAATGAGATCCCTTGGAACTAGAGGTACAGATAGCTGTGAGCCACCATGTGGTGCTGAGAACTTGCAGGGAACCTGGGTTCATGCTCCTAAACACTGAGCCATCTCCAGTCCCAAATTTGGCTTTTTTGTTTTGGTTTGGTTTTTTGAGACAGAGTCTCTCTACATAGACTTGGCTGACCTGGAACTCCCTATGTAGACCAGACTGGCCTTGAACTCACACAGTTATGTCTACCTCTGCCCCAAGTGCTGGGACTAAAGACGTGCTTCACCACACTTAACACTTAGCTCGGTTTCCTCTCTTGCCCTCTTCTGGCCTCAGTTCCTCCCATGTAAAATGAAAACACAGAGAGAAGACCATTCTCTCTCTCTCTCTCTCTCTCTCTCTCTCTCTCTCTCTCTCTCTCTCTCTCTCTCTCTCTCTCTCTCTCATGTACATGTTCATGAGGATGTGTGTTGTGGGAATTCATCTAAGTACCAAGGATGGTTGCCATGGGAGCCCCTCTTTATTGAAGCCTGCAGCGACTATTTCTGTATATTCAGGTGACAGCCATGTGTGGCTCATAACCATTGTCTCGAGGCCTTCAAAGGATTTTAGGCCTCCTAAGGCTCAACTCAGCTGTAGAAATGAGGGTAAAGGTGCCGTCTTAGTTAGGGTTACTATTGCTATGATGAAATAATGTGGCCAAAAGCAACTTGGGAAGGAAAGGGTTTGTGACTTCCAAATCCTGCATCAGTACATTGAGAGAAGCTGAGGCAGGAGCTCAAACCAGGGAGGAACTTGGAGGCAGGAGCTGATGCAGAGGCCATGGAGGAGTGCTGCTCACTGGCTTGCTCCTCATGGTTTGCTCAGTCTGCTTTCTTATAGACTTGATGACTACCAGCACAGAGGTGGTGCAACCCACAGTAACCTGGGCCCTTCCTGTTAACCACTAATTAAGAAAATGCCCTACAGGCCTGCCCATAGCCCAGTCTTATGAAGGCATTTTCTCAGTTGAGGCTCCCTCCTCTCAGGTGACTCTATCTAGCCTGTGTCAAGTTGACACAAAACTAGCCAGCACAAGGTGTCTGATAAAGAAAAATAAGAAGCCAGACATGGGGGTGGAAATACAGTTCAATGGTTAAGAACACTTGCTGCTCTTGAAGTGACTTGAGTTTGGTTCCCAGGACCATATAGGTAGCTCACAGCCACCTGAAACTCCAGCTCAAGGGGATTTGACACCTCTTCTAGACTCCAGAGGCACTTGCATGCTGTGCACGTGCACGCGCACACACAAATAAAATAATAACAATAATTTAAACTGGGTATAGTCGCACACATCTACAATCCGAGCATTCAGGAGGTGGTGGGGAGGAGATCAGGAGTTCAAGGCCTCTGTCAGCTAGAGACTGTCCTACATAAGATCCTAACCAAAAAGGGGGGAGGGTTGGTGGTGAGACTGGGGAGGGGTAACAGCACTTGCCACCAAGCCTGGAGACCTGAGCTTGATCCCTGGGTTCAGTGGGGGAAGGAGAAAGTGACTCCTGCCAGCTGTCTGTGGCATAAACACACACGCTGTGACAGGCACGCTGTGACGCACACGCTGTGACACGCACGCTGTCCTACTTAGGGTTACTAACGCTGCAGTGAAGCTTCATTAGCAGAGCAGCTTGCAGAGGAAAGGGTTTGTTTAGCTTACATTTCCCGATCACAGACCATTGAGGGAAGCCAGGTAGGAACTCAAACAGGGCAGGAACCTGGAGGCAGGAGCTGATTGCAGAGGCCGTGGAGGGTGAGGCTTACTGCCTTCTTCTCATGACTTGCTCAGTCTGCCTTCTTATAGACCCCGAGACCACTAGCCCACAGGTAGCATCAGCGCCCACAATGGGCTGGGTCCTTTCCAATCCATCACCAATTAAGGAAACGCCCCACAGGCTTGCCTGCCTGCAGCCTGATCTTTTTCTTTTTCGTTTGATTTTTTTTTTTTTCAAGACAGGGCTTCTCTGGGTAGCCCTCGCTATCCTGGAACTCTTTCTGTAGACCTGGCTGGCCTCAAAAATCACGAACATCTGCCAGTCCCTACCTCTTGAGTGCTGGGGTGAAAGGTGTGCGCCACCACCTTCCAGACCAACTTGAAGCCTGGTCGTATGGGGGCATTTTCTCAGTTAAGGTTCCTTTCTCTCAGATGACTATCATGTGTGTCAAGTTGACACAAGACTAGCAAGCACACATGCCCACACATACACAAATAAATAAATTTAACGATTTTGAAATCCACCAAAACAATACCAATAATAAACTAAGATAAACTTCTCGGTGTGGTGGCACACATTTTTAGCGCTCAGGAGGAACAGGCAGGCAGATCTCTATGAGTTTGTTGTTGCTGATTCATTATTTGAGATGGGTCTCACTAAGTAGACCAGGCTGGCCTTGAACTCAGAGAATCCACCTGCCTCTGCCTCCAGAGTGTTGGGTTTAAAGACGTGTGCCACCATGCGCAGGCTTTCTGAGCTTAAGGCCAGCTTGGTGTACGTAGTGAGTTCCAGCCAGAGCTAGCACTGCATAGTAAGATTCTGTGTCTGTGAGGGAATGTAATAAAAATTAAAACAAAATAAAAATTAAAACAAAACAGTATTAGTAATAGCAATAATAAGATTAGTCCAGGATGAGCCTGACTGCAATGGGTAGATGAGAAGGCGCTGAGAGAGTCTCTGCACAGCCAGGAACCATGGGCATCTTTGCATTCTTCATTGTCTTCCATAAGGACTATACCCAGCCCTCTGAGGTGTAGCATTCCTCTTTAGTTGGGGAAACTGAGGCTCAGAGAGGGTAAGATAAGCCAAAGGCCACTCTGCCAGGAGGCTCTGGAACTTGTACCCAGGTGTAACTGGAAAGCCAACATCATTCCTCTCCCACGGTGGTGTCAGAAATGGGGGTAGGAGAAAGGACCAGGGGGCGAGGGGGAGCCTGGAAACCGCTACAGTGATGGCTTAGTAACTGTTTGCTTCTGTTTCTACAGCTATGGAGTCAAAATCCGGGCACCTCACGCACTGGTCATGACCTTTCTCTTCAGGAGTGGCAGGTACCTACCCTCTCTGCGGACCATTTGGGAGATGATGTGGTCACCCTCAGGCCAGGGTGGGTGTGGTCATTTCTAAGCTGGGACTAGCTTTCCCGTTCCCCTGTCCAGCGCTGATCCTAGCTGATCCTATGTCCCTCACTTGAAAACGCCCGTGACTCCTCACTGTCCTCCAAAGAGACCCAACTGCCAGGCCTGGCCTTCACGGCCCTCTGAGGTTGGCACAGCTACATGCCTACAGTGTCCAGCGTGGGCTTCCTTGGCACACAGGCCCTGTTCCACTCCCACACGTTTGCCTGTGTGCGTCTGCTTCCAGGAGAGCCTGACCTCTTCCAGTCAGCCTTTATTTCTTCCTAGAAACCTGTCTGGTTCTCTGGGTTACCTTCTCCAGGACCCAGGCTCTCATCTCTCCTCACCTGCTCTATGTTCTGATCTTCTTCTGAGTCCCTATAACTCTTCCCTCAAGGCCTCACAGTCCCATGTTTATGGCTGTAGACACAGGGACTGGAGAGATGGCTTCGGTGGTTAAGAGCCTTGTTGCTTTTTCATAGGACCCGAGTTCAGTTCTTAGCACTCACATGGTAGCTCCTAGCCATCTGTAACTCCAGTCCCAAGGACTCCAACACCCTCTTCCGACCTCTGCAGGCACCAGGCGTGCACAGACATGTAGGCAAAGCACTTACATGCATAAAATAGAAATAAATAATTAAAAAAAAAGAAGAAGAACCATACACAGAGGGTGGCCTAAATTCAAGTTGCAAGGTTTCTGTTTTGGCAGTTTATTTTATTTGTCTTTGTTGGGACTTTTTGCTGTCCAAATGGCATCTTTTCCCTTCTCCCCTCTCTTTCTCTCTCCAGAGCCAGGAACATAGTAGGGAAGCACACTGGCACTGACCCAGGAACACAGTAGGCAAGCACACTGCACTGAGCTATATGCCCAGCCCTTCCAAATCTTTTTGTTTTGTTTTGTTTTTGAGACAGGGTCTCAAGTCTTTTTTTGTTTTATTTTGTTTTGTTTTTGTTTTTCAAGACAGGGTTTCTCTGTGTAGCAGCCCTAGCTATCCTGGAACTAGCTCTGCAGGCTGGCCTCAGACTCACAGAGATCCTCTTGCCTCTGCCTCCTGAGTGCTGGAATTAAAGGCGTGCGCCACCACCTGCCTGGCTCCCAAGTCATTTTTTAAAAACTGAATTTGCTCATTTAGTCACCAAGTGTTTAGTGAATGTCTGCTGTGTGATAAACACTGTTCTGGCTGCTAAGACTACAGCAGCAAACAAAACAGACAAGGATTCCTGCCCTCCTGGGGTTCATCTTCTAGCAGGAGGTGGCAGGAAATGACCATTCAAATATCAAGGAAGCCAGATAGCGGTGGCAGCGCACACCTTTAATCCCAGCACATGGGAGGCAGAGGCAGGTGGATTCTGAATTTAAGGCCAGACTGGTCTACACAGCAAGTTCCAGAATATCCAGGACTACTCAGAAAAACCCTGTCTTAGAAGAAAAAAAAATCAAGGAAGACAAGTTCACAAGATGCTGAAGGCCAGGGTCGGCCAGAGGTGGGATGGATTGCGCTTGGGGAGTCTAAGAAGCTAGCCACCAAAATGTTGAAAGGGGGAGGCAGCAGTGTCATAGCGGGAACTGGGTCAGACCTGGCCTGGCTCTCGGCCTGAAAGAAGTGCTTGGCTTTCCTTTTAAGCGAGAACAGGAAGCTATGGCATTTTGAGCAGGGGCATACCATGGTTTGACTTCCTGCAGGTTTTGGGTGTTTTTTTTTTTTTAAGATTTATTTTGAATTTTAATACTGCATCTCCGAATGTGTGCCAGGAGTGCAGGTACCCATGGAGGCCAGAAGAGGGCAGTAAGAGTCTTTGGGGCTGGAGTGATGGGCACACCTTACATAGGTGCCAGGAACTGAACTTAGGTACTGTTCCGTAAGAACAGTGTGTACTCGCGACCCTGGAGCCAGCTCCTCAGCCCCGTTTGGGAGGCTCTGTGTGTTCTGGTTTCTTTTTGTTTCTTGAGATGTGGTCTTGTTACGGTGTCAGCCTGCCCTCCCACTTCAAGGCCCAAGTCCTACCTCAGCCTCGCAAATAGCTGGAAACATCGGTGTCTGGCTTTACATATGTTTAGCAGCGTGAGGATTAGTCATTTGCTGCCTGGTTGGGAACAGCTTGGCAAAGGGAGGAGGGGCTGATGGAAGAGCCGAAGTCTGGGTGTCCATTAGCAAGAAGCTGTGCAGTGGCCTAATGTGGTGACCTATAGCTGGGTGCTGGCCCGGAAGACAGAGGAGCCAGACTAGAGATGTCTTGAAGTCAGTGTCAGATACTTTCTTACTTTTTCAAGGTTGGTTTTTTTTTTTTTTGAGGCAGCGTCTCACTGTGTGGACCCAGATGGCCTCACATTCACAGAGATCCACCTGCCTCTGCCCTCCAGGTGTGCACCACTACATCTGGCCTTACTTTTTACTTAGTTTTCGAACAGGGTCTTAGGGTCTCAGGCCTAGGCTGGTCTCCAACTCTCAGTCGTCCTGTTTCACCCAGGATTACAGGAACGGGCTGCCATGCCCAACTGCAGTCCAACATTCTTGCTTTAAAAGTGTTACTCATAGCCGGATATGGTGGCGCACACCTTTAATCCCAGCACTCAGGAGGCAGAGGCAGGTAGATCTCTGAGTTCCAGACAACCTGGTCTTCATAGCGAGTTCCTGGACAGCCAGGGCTACATAAAAGACCCTATCTCAAAAAACCACCCAACCAACAAGCAAAGGTACCCATGAAGCTTATGTTGTCAAAAGCCAAGAACCAGCTGCTGCAAACTTTTCCCACTCACCTGACCGGCTTCTACCATGGCCCTCCTCCCCATTTTTTCAAGACAGGGTTTTTCTGTGTAGCCCTGACTGTCCTGGTGTCCTGGAACTCACGCTGTAGACAAGGCTGGCCTCAAACTCCCAGAAATGCACCTGTCTCTGCCTCCTAACTGCTGGGTGCACCACCACTGCCCGGCACCACCACTGCCCAGCACCACCACCCTCTTCCTATGGGGGGGGGGGTCCTTGTCTAGAATTGAGAGGTACACTCTGCTCTAACCATAGGTTATCTTTGCTGTCCTCTAGTGGGACTGTAAAGATGGCTCAGCCACTAAGAGTACTTGTTGCTCTTCCAGAGGACTAGAGTTCAATTCTCAGTACCCACACCCAACAGCCCACAATTGCCTGTATCTCCAGTTCCAGGGAGTCTAATACTCCCTTCTGGCCTCTGTGGGTATCCACAGACATGCACACACATGCACATACATATACACACACACACTCTCACACACACACACTCTCACACATAAATTCACACACTCACACTCTCACCCACACTCGCTCTCATACACACACTCACACACTCTCACACATAAATTCATACACACATTCACACACAAACACTCTCTCACACACACTCACCTTTTAAGGAAACGGTGGATTGAATTAGTTCCCCTTCATCTCTAAAGAAAGACCAGTGTCAGGTGCTGACCTCCTCACGGCTCTCCGTACACAGCCACGCTCAGAGCCCACACCAGCCTCTCTTCATTGCTTGGCTCCCTTTCTGTGCCTGTCCTTAGGGCCTTTGTATGTGGCGAGTCTTCTGCCTGTAAAGCAGCAAGCTCCTCCCGTGGATTCTTTTCCCTCCCTCAGATTCCGTGACCACCTCTTGTCAGGGTCAATGTCAGGTTCCTGTCTTGGTGAATGTGTTTCTTCCTCACAAGCCCCACAAAGGCAGACAGCAGATCTGTCCTGTCTCAGAATTCTCTCTGCAGATCCAGCCCATAGTAGGCACTCATTCATCTGTTCATTCACCCCTCCCATTTGCTGAGGACCTACTGTGTGTCAGGCCCTGACCGTGCCCTTGGGATGAACAAAAAGAATCTAGACCCTGCCCTGCAGGAGCTTACACTGAGGACAAGGGAACTTCATACATCACCTTACAGATGTTAAATGGGGATGAGAGCAGTGAAGGAAAAGACCTAGGAGGAAAGGGATGGACACTTGTTAATACACTCTGAGGTGGTGCACTGAGTAAGGGCCTCTGTCAGGTAAGAGGGCAGCGCCCCCGAGGACATGGGCTCCCTCCTCAGAGATCTCAAACTGGATGGGCTTCAGTCATGTGCTCCTTGCCCAGTTCAGATCTGTATGCTCTCCGGGGAAAGCTGCCTGGACCAGCGGGGCCTGCGCTCATGAAGCTTTCTGTTTGTGCAGTCTCCAAGAGAAACTGCAGGCCGTCCTGAAAGCCACATACACCCACTCTTGGAACCTGGCCTGCTTCGTGTTCACCTATAAGAGCCTCTGTGCACTCCAGTCGCATGTGCAAGGCGAGACCCGCCAGATGCACTCTTTCCTGGCCGCCTTCCTCGGGGGCCTGCTGGTGTTCGGGAAGAACAACAACGTCAATAGCCAGGTACAGCTTTCCTGTGGGACAGTGAGGGGCGGGAAGTGAGGTGAACTCCTGGCAGCTGTCTGTGTCTGAGGTCTAAGAATCATCAGTCCCCGTGCGACCTTGGGAAGGTCACTTCTCCCTCAGTTTTCCTATTTGTAAACCAGGCCACAGCTGCAATCCCAGGGCTCCCCACATCAGTGTGTCTGCTACTCTTTGGGGCAAGGATTTTGGTGGTGGTGGTAGGAGACAGGTTTCATCTTATTCCGGCAGGCCTTGAGCTTGCTACGTAGCCGAGGCTGAGGCTTGCCTTGAACTCCTGTTAGCCTTTTTTTTTTTTTTTTTTCTTTTGGTTTTTTGAGGGGTTCTCTGTGTTGTGTTCATAGCTGTCCTGGAACTCACTCTGTAGACCAGGCTGGCCTCAAACTACAAAGATCCGCCTGCCTCTGCCTCCTGAGTGCTGGGATTACATGTGCATCAATGATTTGGTGGCACAATGATTTTTTAAAATTATTTCTTTATGTGTGCGTGCCTCTGTGTGCATGTGTACCTGTGTAGGCCTGAAGAGGGTGTTGTATCTTCTGGAGCTAGAGTTATGTACCGCCCTATGTCTGTGCTAGGAATTGAACTCCGTCCTGTGGAAGAGCAGCAAGTGTTTTTAGCTGCTGAGCCATCTCTCCATCTTAAGACTGTTCTTTTATTGCTGGGCCATGGTGGCGCACGCCTTTAATCCTAGCACTTGGGAGGCAGAGGCAGGCGGATCTTTGTGAGTTCGAGTCCAGCCTAGTCTAAAAGAGCTAGTTCCAGGACAGGCTCCAAAAGTACAGAGAAACCCAGATTGTTCTTTTAATGCACTTTGACCTGGGTGTGGTGGCATACTGAGAGACTAAGGCGCTGATTTGAAGCCAACCTGGGCTGCATCTCAGAACAAACAAGCAGAACTCAGTGAAACAGAAAATAGGAAATTGAAGGAGAAAAACTGGTTCTTTGAAAAGATGAACAGAATCAATAAATCCCTAATCCAGGATCCCCACAAAGATGTTTACTAATACTGGAAATGACAAGGGTTATGTTTAATATCTTGTGTATATTAAAAGGCTTTGAGGAGCCTCAGCCCTCAGGAGGCAGAGGTAGGGGAATATCTGTGAAGGCAAGGCCAGCCTGGTCTAACAGTGAGATCCAGGACAGCCACGGCTACATAGAGAGACCTTGTCTCAATAAATATTAAGTAAGCAAATAAATAAATAAGAATAAAAAACACAAGCCCCAAGAGCCTGTGAAGTGTCACAGCAGGCAAAGTTGCCTGCCATTAAGTCTGACAACTTAATTTGGTCGTTGGGATTCACGTGGAAAGAGAGGAAAAGTCCCGAAGGTTTTCCTCTGACCTCTTCACGTGGACCATGACAAAAGTGCCCTGCACCCCAAAAAATAGTAATAAATGAAATATAGATTTGCAAAAGATCTTGAATAACATGGAAAACTAAGACTAACTCTGTGTTTACAAACTTGGTATCTGGTATGAAATAGATCCACTCTTTGGGAAGAAAAAAACCTGCCTGCGTCACATGAGAAGAGCAGTGTGACTCTTTTAAAACAGATTATTTTTCTTTTATGTCCCTGAGTGTTTGCCTGCATGTACGTCTGTGCGCCTTATATATGCCTGGTGCCTGGAGAGCCAGAAGAGGGTGTGGGATCCCCTGGAACAGGAGTTAGAGATGATTGTAAGCACCATGTGGGTGCTGGGAACCAAACTGGGGTTCTCTGCAAGAGCAGCAAATGCTCTTAACCGCTGAGCCATCTCTCCAGCGCCCCCCCCCCTTTTTTTTTTTTTGAGACAGGGTCTCATGTTACCCAGTCTGGTTCAAATTTCCTTTATAGCAGGCCTTGAATCCTGCAGCCCATACTTCCCTAGGGTCTGGATTATAGGCCTGTGCCACCACAACCAGCTACCTTCTTTCTTACTGTGTCTTGCTCTGTACCCCAAGATAGCCTTGAGTCTTGCCAGTTCTCCTGGAGCCTCCAGAGCACTGGGGTTATAGTCATGTATGGCCGCCCTGGCTGAAGTTTTCCCTCTTATTTCTAAGTAGTATAGAAGTGCCATCAGGTTTTTTGGTTTTGTTTTTCCTGTGAAGGACATCTGGGAAGTTTCTAGCTTTAGGATGTTACAAGTAGAGCTGTGAAGAACGCTCTTGTCCAGAATCTTCTGTGAACATACGTCTTCCTTTTCCTGGGATAAAAGCCCACGAGTGTAATTGTGGGTTGTATGGTACATGCATACTTGGTTTTAAAACAGCCTGCCAAGAAAGAAGAAAGTAAAAAAATCAACAGCCTTCTGCCAAGCCGTTTTTCAGAGTGACGATAGTTTTTTACATTCTCACCACAAATATATGAGTGTGTGTCTACATTCTCCATATCCTAGCTAACATTTGGCTTGTTGCATGATTTATTTTAGCTGCATTTTAAAGTTTTTTGGTGTGTGTGTGTGATATGATTGTAAGTGTGCACCTGCCATGGTGTGTGTGTGTGTGTGTGAGATATGATTGTAAGTGCAAGTGTGCACCTGTCATGGTGTGTGTGTGTGTGTGTGTGTGTGTGTGAGAGAGAGAGAGAGAGAGAGAGAGAGAGAGAGAGAGAGAGAGAGAGAGAGAGAGATGATTGTAAGTACAAGTGTGCACCTGCCGTGGTGTGTGTGTGTGTGTGTATCAAAGGACAGCTCTTGGGAGTTGGTTCTCTCTTTCTACTTTGGACTCTGGAGATTGAACTGAGGTTGTTAGATGTTTGCTGCAAGTGCCCTCAACCCCTACACCCTCTCAGCAGCCCTGTCTTAGCCACTGTGACTTGACTTTGCCTTCCCCAATGGCTAATGCTGTTGAAATTGTCCTATTATCATTTATTTGCTACCTGCACAACCTCTTTGGTGAAACATTCATGTCTTTTGCTCATTCTCCAATTGGAATATTTCACGTTTTATTTTGGAGCTCTGAGGACATTTTTCAGATCATCTACATGCTGGTGCCGTGCAGATATGCATTGTGAATGTCTGTCATCTGTAGCTTTTCTTTCTCGGAGAAAAGGTCTTGCCCCAGCTGGACTAGTATTTATTATGTATACCCAGCTGGCTTCACAGAGAACAAAAATGAATTTCAAGGCAATCCAAAATATTATTTTCCCTCTGATAGATCATTTTTTAAAATTTTAAACTGTGTATAATTCATTTTAAAGACTTCTAATAAGGGTGCCAGTCATAGTGGTGTATGCCTTTAATCCTAGCACTCAAAAACAGACAGGAGGATCACTGTGAGTTTTCAGCCAACTTGGTCTACTTAGTGAATCCCAGGACAACCAGGACTATATAGTGATACCGTGTCTCAAAAAAAACAAACAAAAACCACAGCTTCTAATAAGGGGACAGAGAGGTAGTTCTCTTGGCAAAGTACTTATGAAGCAAACGAAGACCTAACTTTCATCGGCAAAGCCCACATAGAAAGCTTCCCCTATACTGTGGGGCTCACTTGTGATCCCAGTGCCAGGGAAGCAGACACAGAAGGAACCTGGCCTTCTAGCACCAACCACTTGTTCACATTGGTGAGTGCCATGCGATGAGAGACCTTGTCTCAAAAATAAAAACTGTAAAAAACAACATAGAGGGTTTCTGAGAAACAACACTTATTAGTGATCTCTGCCTTACACATACACACACACACAGACACACACACACACACACACATACACTAAATAAGTAAGTAAATATTACTTTTTAAAAGCCAGGCACAGAAACACCTGGCTGTAAGCCCAGTATTTGGGAGGCAGAGAGAGGTAAGTCCCTGGAACTCTACAGTCAGTAGCATAGCCAGCTTGGTGTACTCCATGTTGAGTGAGAGGCTCTTGTGTCTCAACAAATCATGTGGGGGCAGGGCGGGCCTATAGCTCAAAGAGTAAGAGTGCCTTTAAAATCTTTTAAAAGAGAAAACTCTTGTAAATTGAAAAGGGGAAATTGTTAAAACAGGGTCTCTTTACATAGTCCCAGCTGACCTGAAGCTCGCTCTGTGGACCAGGCTGGTCTCGAACTCACAGGGATCCACCTGCCTCTGCCTCCAGAGTGCTGGGATTAAAGGCGTGAAGGCATGTGCTGTACACCTGACTATAAATGGAAAGGTTTATTAAGATATTGGGTTTTGTTGTTGTTTTTAATTACACTATTTGTCAACTTGACACAGAAAAAAAAATAAAAAGAAATTAGGCTAGAGATGGGCATGGTGGCGCACACCTTTAGTCCCTGCCCTTGGGAGGCAGAGGCAGGCGGATCTTTATGAGTTCCAGGCTAGCCTGGTTTATAGAGCAGGTTCTAGGAAAGCTACATAACAGGGAGACCCTGTCTCCAAACAACAAGAACCAAACAAATACTTAGGCGAGAGAGGGAACTGAGAAAGACACTGATGTCGGCCTCTGGTCTTCGTACCCACATGTGCGCAGGCACCCAGCACACACGGGATGCACTTACACAACACACGCACACACACACAGAAATAGAAATATCAAAATGTCTGCTGCACGCCACCTCAGTCATCTTGCACATCAACTTTGAGAGTCACGGAGCCAGTGAACAGCCATGCCGGAGTCTAGGCTGGGTGGGCAGGTGAAGGTTCCCAGTGGCCGTGCTTACTAGTAATCCTCGGCATTCCCTCCCTGCAGATCAACATGTACCTGTTGTCACGCCTCCTGTTTGCCTTGTGCCGCCTTGGCGTGGAGAAGGGCTACGTCCCTAAACTCAGGTGGGACCCATTCCCCTTGCACACAGCGGTGATTTGGGGGCTTGTGCTCTGGCTGTTCGAGTATCACCGGTCCACGCTACAGCCCTCCCTACAGTCCTCCATGACCTACCTCTACGAGGACAGCAACATTTGGCACGACATCTCTGATTTCCTCATCTTCAACAAGAGCAGCCCCTCCAAGTAACACAGCCCGAGGCACTAAAGGAACTCCTCTTTGCAGACAGCTTCTGCAGTGTCCAGCCACTGCCCAGAGTATGGTTCTATTGACACACCCCCCTGGAGGATCCTGCCTTCTCAAAGCCCTGGGCCTCACACTCCAACTTGTTTGATCCCAACCAGGGTTCCATTTCTGAAACAACAGCCCCGAGTTTCCACCCGCCAGGTACTTTTGGATAGCGCATATAGCAAGGGGCATGCTAAGGAGTCTGGGGCTGACTCCCGATGCTATTCCGACTCCAGTAAGGCCAGGGAAAGCGTCACCTTCTCTGGGCCTCAGACCGTTCAACACGGGGTGGGGGAGAGTTTCTTCCTGGTAGGTATGATAACCCTTCTCTGTGCTGTGTATCAGAGGGCTCTTTGCTAGTGGGCTACAGTTACAGATACCTTGGGAGGGGGACTAAACCCTTTGTCTAAGGTGTGCCATTGGGGAGTTCCAGAGCCCCATTGTCCAATAGGAACACAACATGAGCCTTATGTGCAGTTACAGTTTTTCAAGAGTAGAGGGATAGCTTAGAGGGACAGCACTTGCTAAGCTTGTGTGAGACCCTGGATCCTATCCCCAGCACTGAGAATAAAACCTCTAGTGGCCACATTTTCATAAAGTATTAAGAAGACTGCAGCAGTAGGTTGTGAGTTCCAGGCAAGCCTGGGGTACATAAGAAAACTCTGTCTCAAAAAATGGAGGGCTGGCTGGGCGGTGGTGGCGCACGCCTTTAATCCCAGCACTTGGGAGGCAGAGGCAGGCTGATCTCTGTGAGTTTGAGGCCAGCCTGGTCTACAAGAGCTAGTTCCAGGACAGGAACCAAAAGCTACGGAGAAACCCTGTCTCGAAAATCAAAAAAAAAAAAAAAAAATGGAGGGCTGAGGCAATGGCTCAGTGAGTAAAGGCGCTTGCTGCCAAGCCTAGCGATCTTAGTTTGAGGCCTGTGTTCCTCATGGTGGCATAGTGGGAAGAGGGGAAGAAAGAACCAGCTCCTGCAAGTTGTCCTCTGACTGCCACATGTGTGCCTTGACATTATGTGTGCATGCACACACACATGCACATACACAATAAATAAAATGTAGTAAAAATTTAATAACATGTAAAATAAATCTTAACAATATATTTTGCCTGCATGTGTGTGCCTGGTACCAACGGAAGTCAGAAGAGGGAACGGGATTCCTAGGAACTGGAGAAATGGATGCTGTGAGCCACCATGTGGGTGCTGGGAATGGAACCCTGGTACACTGGAAGAGCACTAAGTGCTTTGTTTGTTTGTTTGTTTGTTTGTTTGTTTTTTGAGACGGAGTTTCTAGAGTTTCTCTGTGTAGCCCAGGCTGTCCTGGAACTCACTCTGTAGACCAGGGTGGCCTTGAACTCAGAGACCCACCTGCCTCTGTCTCCCTAGTGCTGGGACTAAAGGTGTGCACCACCATCACCACTTGGCATACTAAGTGCTCTTAATCACTAAGCCATCTCTCCAGCCTCAGATTGTAATCATAAATTTTAATTTAATATTTCCAAAAACTTTCTCTTTGAAACATATATTAATATAAAGGATTAATGACAATCTTTCTTGTATTACATCTTCAATGCTGGCAGTGTGTTTTACAGGTATCAAGTAACACATCTATCCTCACAGAAGATTCCAGTAGACACTGAACATGTAGAACTAAGGACACAATCCGAGCCCAGCAGCACCGCTGTGACACACCCCTGGGGAAGGCTCTCCCAGTCTCAGCACTTCAAGGTTTCCTAAGTGAGGATAAACATAGTAACTCAGTGTCCACATTGGACGCTTTACAGCGACACTGTTGCCACTGCCACCAGAGCCTCCACGTGGCAATTTCAGCTTCCTCCTGACTGCTGTGTGTGTTACTGTTTTCAGTCCGTACAGTCAGTCATCTTGCAAGGCTGGGTGTTGATCCATGTTTTCCAGATGTGGAAACTGAGGGTCAGAGAGGAGATAACTTGTCCAAAATAACATGGCTGTTAAGATATGGCCACGTCCGAATTTGAACCGTCTGCCTGATTTCAAAATCCGTGTGCCTTTTATTTTTTGGCGCCTTGCTTTGAACCTAGGCATCCTCAGCCGTGTTTTGCAATCATTGGTTATGGGACATGGTGTCTGAAAGCAACCAGATGCATACAGGAGCTCTCGGTGGCATAAGTGTAAGTTCTTGGGGGTGCTGTGCCATAGGGGGAAATAGGTCACAGTGATCTGGAGAGTCGTGTGGCAGGCAGAACTTTTAAAACAGAACTCTCAGAAAAACCTGGTCCAGAGGCTGTCAATCTGAGACCCTTGGTTTAGTGCATTACATTACTTGTGGGGCCAGAGAGATGGCTGCTCTTCCAGAGGACCCAGGTTCAGATCCCAGCACCCACATGGTGGCTTACAACCACCCCTAACTCCAGTTTCAGGGGATCCGATGTCCTCTTCTGACCTCTGTGGGCACCAGGCATGCCCATGTGGTACACATGCAAACGTGCAGGCAAGGCACCCACACACATAATATAAAATAAATAAACATAAAAAAAATACATTACTTCTAACTTACCCTCCCCTCCTGTTTTTATGTATTTGGAATGACTAGTGGAAATCTGTAGGTGTAGATTCTGGCTAGGCGTGGGTACACACACATACCTGTATTCACAGCTCTTGGGAGGTGGAGGCAAGAGGATAGGAGTTCAAGGTTATACTACTTGCTACGAAGCAAGTTGGAAACCAGCCTGGACCACGTGAGACCCATCTCAAAAACAAAACAAAACGAAACAAAAAAAAACAGACAAATGGGTACAATACACATTCTGACCGAGGGGTATGGAATGGGTCCAAGTGTCTGGCTGTCCTACGAGTCCCCCACACTGTGGGTGCTGTGTGTGAGCCCCAGCCTGAGTGCTGAGGGAGTGGCGAGAGGCAGATTCAAGCGTAGTTATCCTGGGAAGCTCTGGGGTAGCGGAGGTGGCTTCTGTCTGACTCCCCAGTGCTCTCAGCTGGAGCTCACTGCATGCTCAGAGCAGACCACTTGGAGGAGCTTCTTATTGGGCTTACTCTGAAGATGAACAACTTGAGACCGGGGGAGGGGGGAGGCCGACCTTTGCCAGGCAGGTTCAGCCTAGCAGATGGTGGGGAGCCCTGCCGTTCTTCCTCTGTGCTCATCTGACTTCTGCAGTTGCCACTCCTGTGTCTCCTGTCTGAGGGCTCCCACCACAGGTGCCTGCTTTACCACTCTGCAGCAGGCCTGCATTTTAGGGATTAACATGCCTCTTGGGCAGCATCAACCCAGCACTGAGGAATACCATCATGAGCAGCTCCCAGCACTAGGAGGAGACACCCCTCCATACACTGTGTGCTGATTGCTAGACCTCCAGAAGGACTGGGCTCCGTGTACCCACAGTGGACATTAGCTCCCTCATGCCTCAGCCGTTGCATCCTGGGACCACTTCGCATTTAAACCATTGCACTCAAATCCTTACCTTGGGGTTTATTACCCAGGAAACCCAAATTAAAAGTGACCGCTGGTCAGCAGGTTGAGAGGCAGCATACATGAGTTGCAAGGGACAGGGCTTTGGAAGCAGCATTTCCAGGCTTGAGGCCCGACCTATTGGTGATGTAGCCATCTGTGCCTCATCTGTAAAGGAGGCGTTGTGATGATCCACACCTCGTGGTGTCTGAAGGGATTAAGTGATACGTGTCAAGTGAGCATTCAATAAACATTGCTCTTATTTCCAGGAGAACAAACGCTGGAGGAAGCTGGTTGAAAGAAATAAGTGTGCCCTGTGTTTAGCCTGCCCTTCTCCCCAGCCAGCCTTGGCCTCCTGCCCCGACATATCCCCCCCTCTGCTGTTGGGGGTGGCCGTCTCCACCGCTGACTGGCTCTGCTCTCTAAGAATAGGCTTCCCTCGCAGATGGCATCTCTCTGGATCTTGCCAGAGCATCTGGTGCCTCCAACTGCACACTCCAGGGAGGAAGGCGGGGTGGTCCCCACAGAGAGAAGCAGAACCTGTCTTCAGCAGCTTTGGGAAGAGCCCAGCTTCGCTCCTTCCTAGCTGATCCTCCATTTTTATGATCTGTATGTAAGGATTGCCAAGGGGCCACTGGCACACAGGGAGGAGCTACTGCCGTTCCTGAACGTGACTTCCAGAAACAGCAGAGTAGATTAATCTGCAATTACTGCCTGCTACATTTATATGAAGTCTTTTGACCTGCAAGACTTAAAAAAAAAATCTTATTACTTAATTAACTCTCACCTTTTTGTGGGGGAGGTCTTAGTTTTGTTTTCTAAAGACAGGGCAGCATGTAGCCCAGGCTAGCCTCGAACTCAGTATTCAGCTGACACTGGCCTTGAACTCCTCATTCTTCTGCTTCCACCTCCTGAATGCTGAGATTGCGAGTACACATCACCACGACAGTTTCCCTCTGTAGCCCAGGCTGACCTACAGCTCCCTGGATAACCTAAGTTAGGCATGGTAGTATATTCCGGTACCTTCTGTACTCCTCACTTTTCGAAGGTAGGGACCAGCACTACACGAGAGAGTAGTGCTCTCTCTCAAAAAGTGCCCCTCCCCCTTAGTATAATACTCAGAGGTGGTGCACTCATTTGATCCCAGCACTTGGGAGGCAGTGGCAGGCCCGTGAATTTGGAGACCACCCGATCTGCATAGTAAGTTCCAGGCCAGGCAGGGCTATGTAATGAGACCCTGTCTCAGATGAAACAAACCATCAGGCTGTGTGATGGGGAAAGTCAGACTCTCTCCTATACCTAAGCTCAGTCCTGGCTCAGTGGTTGAAAGCACTGGCTGCTCTTCCAGAGGACCCAGGTTGATTCCCAGCACCCACACGACAGCACACAACTGTTCTATCAATTCCAGGGCATGCAACACCCTCTCCTGGCCCTCTCAGGTACGACCTGCACATGGAGTACAGGTATAAAAGCAGGCCTACTCTCCCTACATATAAAACACATACCCAGATGTTTCTTCTACCACTTACCATACTTGTGTCTTTGGGCCATGTTGTCCCAGAGGCCATGTTGATGTCCTTGACCTGTGCCGCCACTAAGGACTAATATGGTGATGTCTGTGGGCTGTACAACCACAGAAGACCGTGCTGAGGTCTGTGGCCATGCTAAAACTACAGAGACCATGTGCGTGGCCATGGTCCATGCTGTTGCAAGAAACCACATGGAAGTCCATGATTCGTTCTCCCAGGGACTGGAAAGGGCAGGGGCGCCTCTTCTGCAGTGGGTATCAATGGCTGCTGACTCACAGTTGAGAAAGAGGGACATAGAAGGCTTCTGTGACAGCCTCTTCTCCCCACCCCCACTCGCCTTTAATCCCAGCGCTCAGGAGGCAGAGGCAGGGGGATCTCTGTGAGTCTGAAGCCAGCCTGGTCTACAGAGTGAGTTCCAGGACAGCCAGGACTGTTGCACAGAGAAACCCTGTCTTGGAAAACTAAAAGAAAATTGTGATAAGGATGCTAAAGTGTAACTCTCCATAACCAATGTCAGGGGTTTGGGTGGGGAAAGACTCAGTTTTTGTTTGGGGGGTTTTGTTTGATTGGTTTTTTGAGACAAGGTTTCTCTGTGTAACAGTCCTAGCTGTTCTGGAACTTTGTAGATCGGGGTGGCCTGGAACTCACAGAGATCTGCCTGACTCTGCTGATATTAAAGGGGTACGCCACCACGCCCTGCAGGAGTCAGTTTTCCTTAAGGGTCTGGCCATTAGGGATTTGACTCTACTGCGCATATAAACAACACAAATTGGGTTTATTTTCTTATTCTTTTTTTGGGGTGGGGGAGTCCTTAGGAGGAGTGGGCCTAGGAGGACTGGGAAGTGAATGTGACGAGGATACATGATGTGAAATTCCCAAATAATCAATAAAATGTTGGAAACATAGATTATTTTTATAAATCTTATTTATTATCCTGTATACACACATGCATGTGCCTAAAATTAAAATGATCTTTTTTTAAGTGATTATTTCAGCCCCTCCTTTTACTCACCCGACTCCACTTTCCCAGCACCTTGGGCAATAAATAACAATGAGTCCCCCCCCCCCCGCCCCGCCCGCAGACACCCTGGACCTTCCAGAGAATGGCTCCCAAATCCAGGCCCTTTGACTT